GCTGGGGGCAGTGTGGCTCAGGGGACCCCACCAAAAAGCTGTCATGCTGAAACTAGAAAAAACATGCCCTGATTCTTTTCTTTTCTTTTCTTTTCTTTTCTTTTCTTTTCTTTTCTTTTCTTTTCTTTTCTTTTCTTTTCTTTTCTTTTCTTTTCTTTTCTTTTCTTTTCTTTTCTTTTCCTTTCCTTTCCTTTCCTTTCCTTTCCTTTCCTTTCCTTTTCCTTTTCCTTTTCCTTTTCCTTTTCCTTTTCCTTTTCCTTTTCCTTTTCCTTTTCCTTTTCCTTTTCCTTTTCCTTTTCCTTTTCCTTTTCCTTTTCCTTTTCCTTTTCCTTTCTTTTCTTTTTCCTTTCCTTTTCCTGATTTTATTTTTCTTTTAAATTATTATTTGTGGTTTGTTCTTTTTTTTCTTCTGTTTCTTTAAAGTCATGAAATGACTCATGCGTCTCAGTTGAAAGTAAACCTGACTGTAGCTGCGGTGGGGAGGTGGTGAGCTGTAATAGCATGGAGGCATGAGGCCCCTTGGAGAGCAGCCAGCCAGCCTTAGCTTTAGGCAGCCCCTGCTTGCTGCCAGCACCCAGATCCCCTTCTTTGGTTGCCTGGAGGCTGTTGCAGAGGCTCAGGTGGCCCTGTCAGAGCTGCTAATGGGGTTAAAGTGCTCCTAGGGGGGCACCGCCATCTGCACGGCCCCCAGGGCCTTGTGCATTTACACTTAGAGAGGATGCCTCGCAGCTGTGGAGAGCACACACGTGCACCCCCGTGTGTAGGGATACCCGTGTGCCCCTGTGCACACATGCACAGGCACACACCGCTTTCCCCCCATGTACCCTCATGGATGCATAAGGGTGCATCCCTTGCCTGGAGTTCACCCCGCACCCTAGAAATACTTTTGCATTACTGTGACCATTTGATGTCAGGAGCTCACCTTCGTTGACACCCCAGTGCCCACCACCTGCTTGCAAAGCCCCTAGTGTGGGGGAGATGCAGCAGCCTCCTTCCCCTACAGAGCTTTGGTAAAATCCCCTCCCTCCAGCCCTCCTTGACCTCTCTGGCACAACAGCTGAACGGCGCATGGGGGGCCCTGGGGGCTGGACCCCTGATGCTGTGTATGACATGGCCATGTGCTCCTCCCTGCAGGGCCCCCTGCAGCAGTGACAGGCCAGCCATGCTCCCAGGAGCCAGCCACATGGCAGGTAAGACACCCCAAGAGTCCCCACCGTACCCCACTCTCCCATGCCCTGCTGAGGGGGATGCTCCAGCACCCCGGCAGCATGCATCACCCCAGGGGACAGCCAGCAGCTCGTTGGGCCCTGAGGTGTCCCCTCATCCCTCATGGTGACATCTCAGAGGCAGGTGGTGTGTGGAGCAGCAGCTTTGCTGGTCTAACTGCTGCTCACCCTCGCTCCCTCCCAGCTTCTCAAGACGGGCCGTGGGGTGAGGGTGACGAGGACACTGAGCCAGCTGAGCCGGGGGGCTTCCATGGCCCCCCGGGTGCTGAGCCCCAGCCTGGCCCCTTGGTGCAAACGTGTCTCCTCCGGGACTTGGAGATGAGTCCCCTCGCCCAGACACAGACGCTGCGGGACTTTGAGCAGGTGAGACCGCGGGGTGCCAGGACCTCCCAGCACTGCCAGGTGCTTGCGGGATACATGATGGGCGCAACGGTGGGGTACGGAGGGCGGGAGGGGGCCGGGAGAGTGGTCATTGCCACCGGCCGCCGCGTCCCCCCACGGCCGCCCCCTGGCCGAGGAGCGCGGGGGCCGCCGGGGCTCGGGTTTCACCGCCAGTCCCCGTCGCGACCCGTCCCGCTCCGGCGATTCCTCAAATAGCTCCGGAGGCGAAAAAAAACCCCACGAGCGGGCCGGAGTCGCGGCCGGCGGTGGGAGCTGCGGGCGGGCACGGCCTCGGGCTGCGTCCCCGCGGCGCCATGTGAGGGGTGCCGGAATGCCCCCCCCATGGAGCGGCCATGGCTAACGGGTACCGCACGCTCTCCCAGCACCTCAACGACCTCAAGAAGGAGAATTTCAGCCTCAAGCTGCGCATCTACTTTCTGGAGGAGCGCGTCCAACAGAAAGGCGAGGAAAGCCGGGACGATGTCTACCGGCGGGTGAGAGCCCGAGAGGGACGCTCGGCGGGGGGGTCCGTCCCAGTGCTCTTGCTTTGCCGAGAGGGAGTGGGGCCAGGAGAGTGCAGCTCTCCCGGCAGTGGGAATGCCGGGGGGACACTGGGCACAGCACTGGGGTGAGGGAGCTGCTGTGTGGGAGTTTGCCCCTTGCCTTTGACAGGAGCACAGAGAGGGTGCGGGAGGGTCCCCCCAGCCTGGTGGGATGCCCAGGGTAGGTGGTGGTGCCAATTTGGATGCAGGCATATGGAATAGGTACACCCCATGGTAGCACAGGTGGGCTAAAATACTGCACGTTCCACTCAATGCCAGGAGCACCTGAAGCTTTGCCATGGGGTGGGGGACCTCCTTGCCACCTCTGATGCATTAGCATCGGCATGCGCATGTGGGGTTGTCCAGGCAAGTACGGGGGCATCCTACCCACCTCCCTCCCACCCTGCAGAACATTGAGCTGAAGGTGGAGGTGGAAAGCCTGAAGCGAGAGCTGCAGGAGAAACAACAAGCCCTCAACAACACATGGTGAGTGTGTCCAGCCAAGCCCCTCGCCCTGGGGTGGACACAGCACCCACTGTCAGCAGTGCTTGTGTGGACAGGGGGTACAGGGGTTGTCTGCCTGCACCCTGCCTGCAGTGGACGGCAGAGGGGTTTGCAGTGGGACTGGAGGGGGTTGCAATGGGACCAGGCACCCACAGAGCTCCTCTTACAGTGCCAGCCAAAAATAAATGCAGCACCTGTTTGGTGTGGGAGAGCAGTGCTATACCCAGGGGCCATGGCATGGGTGTCCCACAGCAGGGCACCGCTGGAAAGGGGACCCAGGGGCATGGCATCTGGGAAGCCCTTGGTTTGGGGAGTGTGGGGGGATTGATCTGGTGGTTCAGAGCCTGATCATGTGCCACCCGAGGAGCAGTGTCCCCAGGGCAGCACTGGGAGGTTATAGTATGCCCTTTCCAGGGGTCCTGCAGAAACGGCACCCACAGCATGGGGGAAGCTGGGCTGCCAGCACTCAGGGTGGCATGGTTCATCATCTGCCATGCCATGTCATAGCATACTGTGCCATACCATGAAGTGTTGTGCCACATTATGTGAGATGCCATGTCATACCATGCTGTGCCGCATTATTCTGTGCCATCCTGTGCCATGCCATGCCATGCCAAGCCGTTCTGTGCCTGGCAGTGTGGCTGTGGAGAACCAGACGACCCGCAGCCAGGCAGCACTCCAGCAGCAGTATGAGGAGCAGCAGCGGGAGTCAGAGCATGTCTATGAGCTCCTGGAGAATAAGATCCAGCTCCTGCAAGAGGTGAGCTCAGGGACTGTAGGGGCTGGGGGGAGGCCAGGGGCCCGTGCCTGTGGGATCACTCCACTGCCATGCAGGAGGCCAGACTGGCACGGAGTGAGGCTGAGCAGGCCACAGCACTGGCCAGAGCCGAGGCAGAGCGGTGCCAGGAGCTGGCAGGGAAGCTGAAGGAAGCTGCGAGGACAAAGGAGGAGGACAAGAGCAATGATGGCTGCAATGCCATTGCCCAGAGGTGGGTGTCCAGGACCCATCCCCTACATGCTGGCAGCCTGTGCTCTGTGCCCGGGCTTGGGAACTACCAAGAGTTTGCTGTTGTGTGAGGCTGGAGAGCTGTGGGCATCTTGGGGGGCTGAGTGGTCATCCCAAGGGGAGAGAGGACTGTGGGGAAGAGGGAGCAGCCCCAGGGCTGCTCGGCTTTGCCCAAGAGATTGCGACCCCCAGCTGTCTCCAGTGCCATCCTGGGGCCTTCCCAGTCCCTGAGCATCCCCTGCCCTACCATCACTTTCAGGAGGATCGAAGAGCTGACCCAAGAGCTGGCTGCCACCAACCGGCTTGTGGAAATGCTGTCAGCTGAGAAGCAGGACCTGCAGCAGCGCCTGGAGGAGACCCCAGCCATGGTGGGGAAGGTGGGTGGCCAAAGCAAGGGGGGACCTCAGCTCGGCATCCTGGGGAGGAGCGTACCCGCCCAGGGCTCGGCTGGCAGTTATCATCCCTGTCCCTTTCTAGGGCTGTGCCACGTCCAGCCCGGCAGCATCGGGTGTTTGTACAGCTGTGCCGTGGTGCTGGGGCAGGGGGCCAGGAGGTCCTGGTGCGCGGTGTCAGGGGAGGGACCACCCCCTGTAGTCCTTCGGCTGGTGTTGGTGCTGCCTGCGCCTGTCTGCCAGTTAAATCCCAGGTCTCAAAATACCCTCAGCAGCCCGGCACGGTGCCAGGTAGGATCTGGGGGCTGTGAGGGATTAGAGCTGCATGTTCCTGGCAGCCGCACAGCTCTGTTTGTGCTGTGTCTTGGTGGCACATCGCTGTCCCCAGCAGCCATGAGACATCACTGCGTGAGCTGCCCGCACAGTGGTCCTGCCAGAGGACCCCGGTGTGTGCCCACTGCGTGGCACGGGGCGCCGTGCAGGTACCGGTGCATGGGTGCGACACCTGCCCCTGCGCTGCCTGCTGGGGCTGGGCACTGGCACTGGCACTGGCACCCAGCACTGACACTCGGGTGGGGACCTGGCGGTGGCACTGGGATAGACCCTGGCGCTGGGGCTGGGTCGCGGCAGGGGCCCTGCACTGTCGCTGTCACTGTCGCCGCCCTCAGCAGCGGCAGCCTGCCGCGTGCCCGGTGCTGGCCGCGGGCAGACACTGCCCATGAGCAATACCTGGGCTTGTCGCCTACAAATCCCGGCAGGCGCAGCGGCTGCCGCGCACGCGTGGGGCTGTCATCGGCCGCCATCTTGAAATCTGAGCCAGAAGCTGGGCGCCGCCGTGGCAGGAGCACCGGTGGCTGCGGCGGGAGGAGCGGCGGGGCCTGTGGGGCAGGGGCAGCGGGGCAGCCCGCGGTGAGGGGCAGCCCCGGGGAAGGGGGGTCGTGAGGAGAGAGGGACAGCCTCGGGGGGCGGGGAGCTGTGAGGAGAGGTAGGCAGCGAAGGGAGGGGCAGCCTGAAGAATGAGCAGCCCTGATGTGGCTGAGCTGAGGTAGGAACGCGATGCTGCAGGGTGGGATGTTTCTGTAGCAGCGGGAGTCTCGGCGTGTCACCCACCCTGAAAGGGGGGGATTGATGGGGTGAGAAAAGAGCTGTACCCTAGGAGATGCACTGAGTGATCAGTTAGAGGCCTTAGCAGGGTCTCTTGGGAGCCCCAGAAGTAGGTTTGGGTGCTGCGAAGGAGGGAGGATGAAGGAAACTTGCCGGATCTGTGCCCGAGAGCTGTGCGGCAACCAGCGGCGATGGATCTTCCACACGGCGGCCAAGCTGAACCTCCAGGTGCTGCTCTCCCACGTCCTGGGCAGGGAGCTGTGCCGGGATGGCAAATCCGAGTTTGCTTGCAGCAAGTGTGCCTTCATGCTGGACCGCATCTACAGGTTCGACACCGTCATCGCACGCATCGAAGCCCTCTCCATCGAGCGGCTGCAGAAACTGCTGCTGGAGAAAGACCGCCTCAAGTTCTGCATCGCAAGCATGTACCGCAGGAACAATGAAGACTCTAGCACAGATGACAGAGCTGGGGATGGGACTGTGGACCTTTCTAACCTGCCTGATGCACGGTATGCTGCCCTCCTCCAGGAGGACTTTGCTTATTCTGGGTATGAATACTGGACGGATCAAGAAGAGCACAGCTTAGAGCCACACAGCTGCCATGCTTCAGAGGGAGCGAGCAACCGCCCGCGACGCTGCCGTGGCTGTGCTTCACTGCGGGTGGCTGATGCTGACTACGAAGCGATTTGCAAAGTGCCACGAAAGGTGGCCAAAAGCATCTCCTGCGGGCTGTCCAGCCGGTGGTCAGCCAGCACGGGCAACGAGGAGTCATCTGTGTGTGATGTGGCGGAGTCTGCCAGTACCAGAGTGCCCGTAGATGGGGAGAGCATGGAGGAAGGCACACCTGCATCCTCTGTTGAGTCCCTGGACACGACTGTGGAGGCAAGCCCTCCACAGCAGAAGGATGAAGATGCAGATAAGGGGGTGAAAGGGAATGGGAAGTGTGATGACTTCTCAGATGACCGCATGACCCCGAACTCTTCGCAGAGTGGGAACAGGCTTGAGTTTGCCCTCAGTTTGATCAAGGCTTTGGACTACAAACCCCTTCAGAGTCCTCGAGGCAGCAGGCTACCTATTCCTGTGAAGTCCAACTTGTCCTCTGCCAAGCTCAGCCGTGATTTGGCAGATGGCAGTGCTTCTGCTGACTTTGCGTGCGCTGGATCTGCCTTCCTGAATGCAGACAGAAAATCCTTTTCCAGAGCTCCTTTGGGTGTTTCCCTGGAGATTTCTGAACTGCAGGAGCTGTGGGATGACCTCTGTGAGGATTATATGCCGCTGCGGGTACAGGTAGAGGTCATTGTGTTGCTGTTCTACTGAGCAGCGTCCATGTGGCCTGACGCTGAGCCCACTGGGGATTGTTCTGTGCTGAGATAATACAGATAGCCATGTGTGGCTGAACCCAGAGCTAAGAATAGGCAGCTCCATCCTTTTTAGGTGTGCTGCTCTCTCCTCTGTCATTCTCCTGTCATCTGTTTCCTCCTTGTGTTCTGGGAAATTACACACTCCCCTCTTCCATCAGCTCTCGCTGTCAGTACCACCTGCTCTAAGGTGGGTCTAAGGTCTTTGTGTACTTTGTTTTCTGCTGTGAAAACACCAGTTTCAGTTCAGCTTTCTCTTTAAGACATCAGTGTGACTTTTGCCCACAACCAGAGGGAGTGTTTTAAGCTCCTGGGCATGCGTTTTCCAGCAAATGTGTTTTCTTTGTGCCTGGGTAATGGTTCAGCATGAGGAGCGCCTGCCTCCAGAGCCCTGTCTCTGCACATCAGGCCTCCAACCTGCCTAACGTGCAGATCCACACAGGGACCTGTGGCACATGCCCTGAGGAAATGGTGTTTTCCTTGCAGGTGGATTTGTGCCAGAGGATTTTTGCCAGTCTGGTAATGGCTTTAGGGTTGGTATTCTAGATAATAGGTTTATTTTCTTATCCTTTGAAAAGACTCATCAGTTGGTGGCAGGTGTTGCTGAGAGGCGATGAAAGCTTATGCTTCCAAGGGACTTCCTGGTGCTGTTACCCACCTTGATGGTAGTCCTTGATGCAGCTCCAGATTGCCTCTGCTTTGCTGGCTTTAATGAAATTTTCATTAGCATGCAGTCAGAAAGCTGAACTTCTAACTCCTTTTGCCACTTTCCTTAATGAATAGAAGGCCTTAGTCAGTTTCAATTCAGGAATATCCATGTCAGCCTAATTGCATTCCCATTAGCAGCCTTAGTGCTGTCTAATGCTGTAGGTAGCCTGGGGGATTAGAAAAATGCTTGTTTATTGCTATGGCAACGATGGCTGTACTGAATTATGTTTCTTATTCAGGCAGTGCTGCTTGCTGTCCTGCCTGCCTGGGCGTTTCCCAGAGCTGTGTGATGTTTCCACAAGCCTGCTCAAGAAATGATGCTGGGAGGCAATGTAGAAAACCTAATTTTCAGCTGGTGCACAAAGGCGTGGTGCTGGCAGGCGGTGGCTGAGGATGTGGAGCAGAGTTTTGGTGCTGCTCCTGTGATCTGTGTCACCTGCTACTAATTTTCACTGTTAGGGATATATTTACAGCATAAAATTATGTGTGGTGCAGGCAGCATGGTGCATTCATTGCTTAGCTCTGTGCCACGCACTGCCATCCTCATATGGGAATGGTGATGGAGGAGTTTCTGCAGTCTCTAGCCTCTGCTGTCTGACTATCCATGCCATGAATTCATCCTGCAGGACTTTTTACCGCCTGCTCCTTGCTGTGGCAGCAGCAACTGTGGTCCTCAGTGCAGGTTCTGGCTGAAGGGGAAAGGGCTTAATACTTTGAATGGCTTTAACAGCAAAAGTAAGAAGTCAGATGCAGCTACTAGACTCAATAGTTCTTGTATAAATGATTCTTCTTTCTCTTTGTACAAACAGCACTCTTTCTAAAAGTCAGGTCCTGCTGTCCAGTGATACATATGCATCAGTGCCTTTCTAATAATGTTCCCTTAATTGCTTTTGAGAAACTGCAGTTCTTTAATCTTACTGCTGTAAGCTACAATGAGAGCAATCTGGTGTTGGGGAATCTGATCTTGTAGGTACTGTCATCTTGGGCATTTTCTTGAACCAACGGTTCTTCCCTGTCGTCATTGCAGCCGCAGGAACGTGCCACCAGACCAAGCCTATGTCAGGCACACTCTTGCAGCTGCCTGTGATGCCATGTTGGCAGCGAGGGAGGCATTGCTGCACTGACAGCCAGTCTTTTACCCACTGTTCTGGGTAAACGTGAGTTTGGCAAGCTTAGATAATACCATGAATATTATTTTTAAAGAGGTGTTCTGTGTAGGTTAGTGTGTGCTTGCACTGCTGGAGCTGTGCTGAGGAGACATTGCCAGTAAAATGCTGATGTAGGAGAAACCGCTGGGGAGCCGTGCTCCTGACATGGCTGCAGGGAAGCAAGGGAGGCAGCTTGTGCTTTAGAACTTTGGACTCTGGAGCTGGCACTGCCTTTCTTTTCCCTGCTCTTAGTTTTTTGCAGGCTTTCTGCTTATTTTTCTTTGGAATGTGCAAATTGTGAGGAAAGGTATATTTTTCTTTCTTGTTTTTTTTCCTTTCTTGTTTATTACTATTCTATTTTCTTTTCATCAGCCATTCGTGTGGCAGATTCCAGCAGCTCTCCCTGTCTCATCCAAGCCTCCTGGGTGGGCATATTTGAAATTACCTGCTGTGACTGTTCAGGTTTTCACTAAAATCTTAACAAAACATCAGGGTAAAGGGAAGCATTGCTTCTGCATGAGAAGCTGTGCACAGCCCTGGGGGAGCTCCCCTGCACTGCCTTTCCCAGAGACAGTGTTTCTGTGGCTGCTGAAGATGAGGATTCAGTCTGATGGGGTTAATCAGAGCTGGCTGTTCTCCCTGTGCTCTGCTGCCTGGAGCTGGTGCTCCTGTGTGAGCTCTGAAAAGCTCTGCTGTGTTCTCACAGCGTCTGCATTGCAGCCCTGCGTTTGCTAGGGCTCCCACTTATAAGAGACACCAGTACAATTGATCAGTTGATCTTGTGTTGCTGATGATATTTGGCAGTATTGAGCCCTGTGAGATCTGGGGTGGGTGGCTGGGTTTGGATGTTGCTTTAAGGAGTTAACAGCAGGAGGGAGCAAAATAGTAAGAGGGGATGACAAAGGGATTAGGGTGTGCTCAGCTAGCAGGGTCTGGCAGGCCACGCATCAGGAAGTAAGCTGCTTCCATTCCCAATAAATGGGTATATGTCATGAAACAAACCTCAGCTGTGGCACTGAAATGGCTATGGTTTATGGAGCTGCAGAGAATTGCACATGGTATGAGTGCTGCTCCCAGTTGCATGGGGAGATGCAAAGGAGAGCCTGGCCTTCCACCCAGGTTTAGGGAGGCATGGGCATCATTATGTTTTGGAGACGTTCAGAAAAGCACGGTGGGGTCTGTGAAGGCTGGTAGCTGAACAGAGGAAGCCAATGCAAGAATTGAGCCATTTCTTGAACTTTTTCCTTTCAGAATTTGCAGGATGAGCAACAGCAGCTGGCTCCAGGTGACCCTGCAGCAGGGGAGCACGTATCCCATCTGCATGCTGCAGAGCTGCAGGGCAAGATCCAGCAGGTTGAAGCTGCCAACCAGGTATTTCTTCATAAACAGCAAATTCAGTGCCTAGTGAATCTGTTGTAGTTAGTATTGGAGGGTGCCTCCTAGCCTGGCCAGAGGCATCTGCACCTCTGTTACAGCAAGGGTGTGTGCTGACACATGATTCTCAGTGTTGTCTGCCTGCTTGAGTTAAGGGCATTTACCTTTTTTCTGCAGCTGGGCTGTGTAAATTTTCCATGTTTATTTTTGCAAACCATTATTTTGGTAGAACTTCCCACTTGTCTGGTGAGCCTTCTGAAGGAGAGATACATACAGCTGTTTCTCTGTCTCTTTAGGTTTGCATGGATTGAGCCTGGTGCAGGAGAGAAGGGCACCTGCCTTCTGAGACAGTTGTTGCCTTTTTTGAAGGAGTAAGGGAGATCAGTGCAGGGGCAGGGGCATGTTTTCATTTTGATTTAAAAGCTTTCTTGGGGAAGAAACATGAATCTGAGTTGTCTTGAGGCAAATCAGATTTAACATGTGTTACAAGGCATAGACGTTCTTAGTTATGCTCTTAAACTCTAAGGTAAGTTATACCTACTGGGAAAACAGAGGGGTTAAATGGAAAAAAAACATCGGGATGCGATTTTTATTTAAATCTGGAGATGGCTGTAAGCTGTTGGAGCTGTCTGGCCCACAGTGGTTAACAGGGAAATAGAAGCTCAAGACCCAGTAAATGGGGTTGGGAGTGTTTAAACAGGTTAGGGGGAGTACCTTGTAGAGAAGAGATAACAGGACAGGTGTGTAAACTAATGAGCTACAAAAGTAAATTATGTGGCAGCACCAACTGCTTAAGAAATTGAGGCTTGAGTAAGTTTTGAGGAGGATGTATATCATGTAAGATTAAGAACAGATTTAGAAATGCTAACTAGGAGTTGTTTAAATGCATGTGTGCTGCTTCATGAACATTATGAAGAGAGCAGAGAACTGTCCTAAACCTGCTTGAGATGGTAGTCTCTTTAGAGTGAAAATGTCAAAGGCAGAAGTTTCTTGGGTTGTAAACCAGCCACAGAAACTAGTGAGGTGTTCCCCTTTGCTTTGCAGCTGTGTTGTTGGCATGCTGGCACTGGCTAGATTCTGTTGTGCTGAAGCCAGACTTGAGGCTGAACAAGCCACTGATCTGATCCAATGTCGAATTACCTAGACCAGCAGGTGCTGCAAGAGTGCCTGAGTGGTCAAAGACGACAGTAAGAGAAGGGGCAGGAAGACTGTAAGAAGTAAAGGGGACAGTTTTTAGCGTGTGTAGCTTCTTCATGTTGAAGATCTCTTGGGAAGTTTTTGGGCTGAAGCAGTCCTTTTCCTTTTAAAGGAAAAGAAACAAATGACAAAAGCTGGGAAGGCTGCTGAGCAATCCCAGCAAGACTCCTGGAGTACGTGGGAGGCAGTATGGTACGTTAACCTAAACCTGGAACCTCTGCCCTGAATGGGGGAGCTGCAGTGAAAGGACCAGAGCACTGAAACAGTCTTGTGGAGGAACTGAAGGCCTTGTGTGTGCTCACTGGTCTCCACCCAGCTCACACAGTATTTACATATTCTAGAGGGAGCCACATTAATCTTGATCTAGTGAACACCTGGACTGTATGAACTTGAGTAAGGAGTAGAAGCACGCCTAAGGGTGTTTATGTGGAGCACTAGGCAGGATTAAAAAAAAAAAAACAAAAAGCAAACCCCCAAACATATTTCTGTCTTCAGTTGTTACAGGAAAAGCTGAATGGTTTGAATTTTCAATTAAAATCTGTCCAAGAAACATCGCAGAGGCAAGATCGTACAATCCAGAGTCTGAATGAGGCCCTGAAGAGCAAAGAGAGCAAGGTAGTAGTTCTGGGTGGACATAGTGGTGCTTGCTGAAAGAGGAAAGTGTGTTAGCCCTGCCGGTAGCGGCTGAAAAGGAATGCTAAACCAATTGCTGGGTATCCTGCTGCTCATGAAATTATTTCTTGCAAAGCTCTTCTGTGTGATGCTCATGTCAATCCCCACTGGGGGCCTGGGACAAGAGAGTTTGTGCTTAGTTTGCCAATGACTCTGCTTCCTATCCTTTGATTTTTAGACAGAAGAACTTTACCAAATCATTGAAGGGCAGAATGAGACAATGGCCAAGCTGCAGGACATGTTACACAGAAGTCATCTGGGACAGTTGCAGGTATGTCCCTGGAAACCCTCAAATATATCAGGCTTTGTTCTGCAGGGATCCTGATTTTTAAATTCCTCTTGAGAAATGGACCTTTGAGTTTCTGTGCTTCCTGCTCTTGTTAGATTTCGGAGAGCCCACTCTCACTGCAGGAGCAGCAAATGTCGCTGCTAGATCTTCAGAACATGGTTTTCTGCACCAAGTTGGAGGTGCAGAAACTGAAAAGAGCTCAGCGCCAGAAAGAGTTTCAACTAGCTGAAGCCAAGAGAGCATCCCAGCTCCTAGAGACCATGGTGTATGAGGAAGAACAGCAGAAAGAGGCAACCTGGAAACACAACCAGGTAATAAGGCAAGCACTTAGCCTGGAAGTGTCTGGGCTTACATGACTTATGAAGCACTAATGTAGTCAGTACTCTGTTCTCGTTCATCTTTTCTGTCTGCACCAGTCTGGGCAGACATGGCCAGCCCCTTGTGACATGTGGCAGAGAGAATTCTCCAGCCTTCTTAGCTACATATCTAGGGGTTTAGAATGGGCAATATATGGCAAATCTGAGTATGTTGTCACTTGTATGTCTTTGACTGGTGCAAATGTCCCATCTCTCGTTGTGATGTTAGAAATATCCACTGCTGCACAGGTTAGCTGTGATTGACTGTAAAGTTCTGCTGTGGCCTGAGCAAGGTGCTTAGATGGAGGGATATTCTGGGAAATGAAAAAGAAATCAAACTTACTCACTATGGATGTGTGCTTCAAAATGTGAAAGCTGTGATGTTGCAGAACAGCTTTGGCTATTTCCACAGCCCCTGTTGCCTGCTGTTTACAGGTTTGTGAGGACTGACTGCCAAGGTGTATGCTTTTCCCTTGCAGGAGCTGCGTACTCTGGTACAGCAGCTGCAGGCAGAGCTTCAGAACAAGGCTCAGCAGCTTCAGACTGTGGAGTGGCAGAAGTGCCGTGAGCTGCAGGCCCAGGAGCAGAGAGTTCAGCACTTGAGTCAGCACCTGGCTCACAAGGAACAACTTCTCCAGGTGAGATGCAGAAAGATTCAAGTTGAGCATAACTAATCGGGGCCCCTGCTCCTCCTTTGGTATTTGATGATGCGAGAATGAGTCTGTGGTCTTCACATGTGCCCTTTGAAGAAGGCAAGAGATACTTCTGGGTTCCCAATATGTGGAAGAAGGCACAAGTAACTGAGTACCTCAGCCCACAGTGATGCCTGGTGAGCCCTGGTAGGCACTAGTCAACCAGCCCCAGGCGCTGGGACTCTACCACCCTTTAATGTAGGGATTAGAGCAAGTGTAGGGTGGAGGTAGTTAGCCCTGATTCTCCTGTGCTGCTCTCTGAGGGTTTCTGGCCTGACAGTTGTATTAGGGTGTGCGTGTGTGTGTCACACATAGGAATCAAGGGAGCTTCTGCAATGCCAGCAAAGCTTGGACAAGAGCCCTGCAGCCATGAATGCCATGCTGGTGAAACTGCAACAGCGAGTCAGTGACAGGGATGCTGCTCTGGAGGTGAGTACAGTAGGTTGGTGATGTCTCAATTTTCCCTGAGGCTCAGGCTTTGGGCTACCATCAGTGGTGCAGCCCCAGGGATGATCATGTCTTCTATGTGCTTTTTGTGGCTCAGCCTTCCAGAGGAGCCCTCTGAAAGGGAGAGCTGAGGTGTCCCACACAGTGAGTGGTGGGCTGCAATGCCCTACTACCTCGTTCTGAACAATCGCCCCCTCTCACCCTAGCGAGCAGTAGATGAGAAATTCTGTGCCCTGGAGAAGAAAGAGCAAGAACTGCAACAGCTCCATCTCTCAATAAGGGAGCGTGGAACTGACCTGGAGAGGCTGCGCAATGTCTTGTCTAGCAACGAGGCCACCATTCATGTGAGTGCTTGTACCTGGGCATGCAGAGTCCAGCCTGGCTGTGGTGTGGTGCTAGACAGACCTTCCTGTGAATGCTCTGGTTGTTGCTGGGGAGAGCTGATGCAAGGTGTTGGCCTTCCTCTGGCCTTGTGTGCAGGGCAAGTTCCTGTGTCACTCATGTTTTTTAGGTTGGGTATAGAAGGTGAGTTTAGTGTCTGAAGAGGATGGCGTGAATCTGTGTGACTCCACTAGCAGGAGGCACTGGTATTTCAAGTTTTGCTTAATTCAGGATAAAGTCTCTGTCCCTGGTTGAGCTGCTTCTGTTGTGGTCCCCAGAGCCTGGAGAGCCTCCTGAAAGCCAAAAGCCTGGAATTAGAGCAGGTCTCAGCAACCTGCCAAAACCTCCGCTGGCTCAAGGAAGAGATAGAGGCCAGATCCTGCAGCAGGCAGAAGGAGCAGGAGGGAATTATCCAGCAGCTGCAGACCTGCCTGCATGACAGGAACAAGGAAGTGGAGGTAAGGCCTTAGCTTGGCTTCCTGAGCCTTCAGCCAGTTTGTCTGCAAAGAGAGTAATCCCAAACCAGAGACTTCTGGCTGCTTGCCTCTTAGGAGGACTCTTGAACCTGTGCCTAGTGCTTTGGAAGCTGACTGCTTTTGGCACCTGTAAATACCTGTGTTTGCTGGGATAGCTGTGTTTGCTGTGTAGCTCTCTCAGCTACACCCAGACTGAAGAGCTGTTTGTCCTTGAACAGCTTGTAGTTTGATGGTAACAGTGTCTCTCCATCTCTCCCTTCCTCCCCCTTGTTCAGGAGCTTACAGCAACTCTGCTGTGCAAGCTGGGCCCAGGACAGAGTGAGGTAGCAGAGGAGCTGTGCTTGCGTCTCCAGCAGAAGGAGAAAATGCTGCAAGAACTTCTCAGCGACAGGAACCGTCAGACCATGGAGCATGATGCTGAAATCCGGGAGCTGCTACAAGCTGTGAACACCAAGGAGCAGCAGAGCAGAGTAAGTTGTGTGCTGTGCTGCAGTGAGGAACCTGGGGTGGATGACCCTGCCTTGCATTAAGCAAATAGAAGCTGCTCTCTGGCTGCTGTTTGTGTAGCCTGCTGGAGCTGTTGAGTATTGAAGAACCATGTGAGATGCCATGAGCCATTTCTAGGTTGGTCCTAACCCACTGCTTTAGAGCAGTTATGAAGCAGCAGCTCTTGTAGTGTCAGGATTCTGTCATTAGGTGGATAAGGCAGGGTTTGTATGTTGGTGAGGAAGGAGGTGCAGACCCTTCTAGATAGCCATGCTCCTGGGCTTGGGATGGCAGAGGGCCTGTGGGAGGGTTGCTGCTACATGTCTGTGTCACCAGAATAGGAAGGAAGACACTCAGCTGTTCCTTGTATAGTGCAGAAGTCTGAGGAAGTTCTGCTCATTGCCTCTTAACTTAAACATTAATCAAAGTAGTGCATGGTCCCGGGCATGTAAATGCCACTTAAAGAGCCACTGTTCCTACCCTGCCTACTCTCACACAGTGGGTGCAGTTCAGTGTTACCCAAGATACCTTGTGTTGAGTTTCTTTTCATAAAAAGGGGGCTAAAAGGCCAGGCAGTGCCTCCTCCTCGTTGTTTGTTCTCTATCTTTCTCCCTTCCTAAACTGAGATAAACCTAGGAGCTCCTTCCTCTGTAGGCAGAGGGGCTGAGCCTTGCTGCAGCTGCCTGGCAGGCAGAGATGGGAGGCCTGAAGTGGAGTAACTGTGGGTGACCTGGTGCAGTAGCTCCCAGGCTGATTTACAGAGCACTTCTACTCTCAAGTGACAGACATAGAGATGGCTTTTCTTAGTCCCTAAGGAATCTGAGGGACAGAGATCCTACCATTTCCTTGATTTTTCCTGCTCAATCAGGTGGCTGCTGAGAAGATGGTGCAAGCTTTGGCTGAAAGGGGCTCTGAGTTACAACTCCTGCGGCAGCATGTGTTGCGGAAGGAGCCTGTTGGGACCCAGTTGGCTGGTGCCAGCCTGTTGAAGCAGGACAAACAGCCCATACAAGTAAGAATTGTGCGCTGTGTTTCTTTGCCTATGACCTCAGGGCTCCAGAGAGAACTGATTGCCCCAGAGGAAATGGTAGAGAGTGGAGCACCACAGAGAATGATAGAAATCAAAGTGGGATCAGGAAAGAGAGTTTCTGTAGGAGAAAAATTCAGGAGCAGAAATGCTGCCTGAATATTCTGATCTTGATGCCACCAGCCTTTGTCACTCAGTGTCTCTTTTCTTTTTGATTAGGCAGTGGTTGAGTCTGTAGGGCACATGAGAGTATGAAAGAAATCCACCCTCTGACCTTCCAGCATTGACCCAGTCCTTCCTTGGGCTGGGCTGCCTTGCTGTGTTGTAATCCCCTCACTGACACTTGTCACATTCTAGAGGGGACAAGCAAGCTAATTTTAGGTCCCACTAATTCTTGGCAGAGCCTGTTGGCTGTTTGCTGTCTCCTCCACAATTGGAGTGATATTTTTAAAGCAGCTTTGCTAAAAACCCCTTTGAGGGTGAACACAACTCCAAGGCTATACATATGCCACGCTCCTACTTGAGCAGCTGTTAATGGTTTATTGGTGAGCTGCTGTGTTGAACATTTTAAAGCAGCTGTAAACAGGTTGCTCATTTCTATTCCCAGGGTCACAGTAAGCTCTAGAGACTTCCAGAGGCGTGTATATGGGCCAAGCTCTGTGTTTTCCTTCCTGCATGGTCCCTGTGGACCGCATCCTTGGATAAAGGGATAGGTCTTTGTAGAGTCTTGATTGAAAGATGGGCTTGCTGCATTTGAGTGAAACCTGTTTAATCCTTACTATGAAGGCAGACACTGCCAGCAACTTTCCAGTGCCACGTAAAACAAGGCCAGTGCCCTTTTGCCCACACGCACAGCTTCTAGGTTGGGTGCAATTCAGTTGTCCCCACTGCTTGGTTAGGTCCCCTTCACTGGTTTCTCACATTTCAGAGGTGTCAACAAAGCAGACAGTAGCTGTGCTGAAGTCCTGGAGCTCTGGGGAAGCAGCAAGTGCCAGCTCCCCCATAAAGATGCAAACCTAGAGGTTTTTGTGTTTTCAGGAAATACTGCAAGGAGCTTGTGGAGCCACAGCCATTGCTGGACGCCCACAGGGGGACAGCAGCTGCAGGACAGAAGGGGGTGAGTGTGTTGACAGCTTCTTTCAATGTCCCCAAACATGACCGGGCTTTTTGGTGTGTGGGAATCATGGTTACATGAAACTGTGAAAGATGAAACACCTTTGAGCAAAAGTGAGTATACTGAAATAAAGCTGTGCCTCCCCTTTGGGTGGTGGTTCAGGGATGTCTAGGGATGGCAGTATGGGAAAGGCTAGTACTGGGTTTGAGGTGAGGTGCTTCTACTCAAGAGTTGATGCCATCCAGTGAAGGGCTTTTGACTTTATGGCTCAGGCTGAGTGAGACAAGTGCAACTGGTTTGGCTTTTGCCTTTGGGGCCATGGCACCTGAATTTGCCAGGGGTGGGACAGCAGGCCTGGGATGTTCCTGTTGCTTGGGACTACTGTTTAAGGATCAAGCAGGGAAGAAAAATGTTTATCAAAAGTGCGATGGGCAGCACAAGCATTGTGGACCTATCTTGCTGACGAGGGATTCTGTCTGATCCTGGGGTCAGATCTGATGCATGCTGTCCCTGCTTTAACCAATGTGTCTTTGCAGTTACAGTGTCAGCAGCAGAGCTGGAGAAGGATCTTGTTAATGCCAAAGAGGAGCTGGAGCTAATGGCAAAGAAGGAAAGAGAAAGCAGGGTGAGCTTGTTCGTGGAACCTGTGTTGATCTCTCATGCTTACAGAAGATCATTGGGCTGCCTATCACTGGAGGTTTTGGATCCTCTTCTATTGTGAGGGTACCCCCAGTGAGAGAAATGGGGCAGCAGCTCGCAGTGGGGCGTTTACTGTTGAATCTCATGGACTTCTCTTCCTCCCCTAGCGAGAGCTCACTGCTCTCCAGTCTGTTGTGGCCACGCAGGAGGAAGAGCTGCAGGTGCAGGCCTCAGATATAGAGTCCTTGACCAGGACCATTCAGATCAAAGAGGACCTTATCAAGGTGAGATAATGTGCTATGCTGGGTCAGGTCTGCCTGGGAAGGCTGCAGAGGAGTGTCTTCTTTCCCCACATCCTGAAAGTAACGTGGCTGGCTCTGTCCATGGAAGGTATTGCTGCCTACAACTTTCTGTGTTACTTTGGCCAGAAGACAAAGGCCCCAAACCTCCAGAGTGTCGTTATTTGGTTCTCTGTGTACCAAACACCCTTCTTTGAGAGTCCTTTAAACAGAGTGCATGTCTCTTCTCAGTTCCTGCTCCAGGCTGTTTTCTGTGCCTGATACACCCTGGGTGCTTTGGCATTTCTTTCTTAGGAGACCTCGGTCTTTCCAGGCAGTGGAAACTTTTGGTAGTTACGTTCCAGCAAGGGTTACAAAGGTCCAACTGTCCTTCTAACTGATTCCTTCTTCAATGAACTCTCCTGCTGTTGGTTTTCAGGATCTTCAGATGCAGCTGGTGGATCCTGAAGAAATTCCAGCTGTGGAAAGGCTGACACAAGAAGTGCTAGTGCTTCGGGAGAAAGTGGCCATAGCAGAGTCAAGAGGACAGGAGGCTGCTGGAAACAGAAGGCAGCAGGTAGTGTGCCATGCGGGGTGAGCTTGGATGTGTTTGCATTTCTGCTGGTGCTCAGTTATGAGGCTTTGTTTTCAGCCTTTGGCTATGCTGAGGTGTGCTTGGTTTTGGAAGCTGGCTGTGTATGATAGGGGGAGTACAGAGGAGAGGATTGGTTCACTTCAGCACTTGTTTCAAGGGAAGTCTTTTGGGAGTCCAGGGGTGGCACGGATCAACTTGATCGCTCGGACACAAGCAAAAGAGGAAGAGAAGCTCCTGTTTCGCTGGGGCAGCCAGGTGCCTCTTTTGATTTCTGTCTCTTTTTCTGAAGTGTTGCATCTTGTCTTTTCTCTCCAACCAGTTGTTACTGATGCTGGAAGGGTTGGTGGCTGAGAGGAATCGGTTAAATGAGGCTCTTCAGGCAGAGAGACAGCTCTATGGCAGCCTGGTAAAGTTTCACACACACCCAGACAGGTAAGTGGGGCTGCCGTAGCTCCATGCTGCTTTGCTCTGCTGCTGTGACAGGCCGGGGTCATCCCGGGGGCAGTCCCCAAAGCGGTGATCATTCTGTGAGTCTGAGGGCCTTCACTGGGAAAGAGGGAGTCAAGGCAAAGAACCAGACAAATGCAGTTTTGGTAGTCCAGATTTTTGGCTGCCTTCCTCCCTTGAAAAAGCTGCAGTGGCCAGCTTTAAATGCTGCATAAACTCTTCCCATTGCTACCTCTTGTTCAGGCCCTGAGATTTCCATCTCTGTTCCCTAGTTTATCCCTTCCCAGCTCAGTTTCCCACCCACACTTGGCCACCTTTCAGAGGCTGCTGTCAAATTCCCAACCAACTGTTGGGTTGATAAGGATCTATCTAGGTGCTTATCCAGGCTGCAGCCCCGCAGGGCATTTTCTGTCCTCTGAACTAATCCTCTGCCTTGCATGGAGCTGCAGCCTCTGGGATATTTGAGCTACCTGATAGCAAGAGAGCACATAAGTGGGATGCTTGGGTAAGTACTGAAGAACAGCTGTGACTAGGAGTCCCCTACCATGGGCTGAAGCCTTTTTTGGGGGTGCCTGTGCTCTGGGGAGGTTTAAAGGTGAGGCAAGAGCTGGCTGAGCTGGCTGGGGAGCATGCAGGGCCTGTGCCTGGAGTAAGTGCCAGTCCTGGATGGAGGGGCTGGTTTCATTTGTGCTTGCTACAGCCTGTCTAACCCTCTTCCCTTCTGTGCGACATGTCCGGTTAGCGCTGCAAGAGACCACACTCTGCAGGTGGAGCTGGAGGGGGTCCATGAGCTCCGGGGACAGCTGGAAGAAGCTCTGGGAAGAAGCTTGGAGTGTTTGAGCAGGCTGGATTCACAGGGTGCCATAGGAGGTGGGGAACAGGAGCGTGTGAGAGTCCTACCCCAGCATGCCTTCTGAGCACTGGTGCTCGCCCGTCTGCCACAGAAACGGTTCACTAACTGAGCGCCTGTCTCACTGACTCTGGGAGGGTGGCTGTGGTACTTAGTCATGGTATGATAGAACTGGTGCAGGGCTTGTTTTAGATTTGAGCTGCTTCGGAAATGGCAATCTGCAATCCACCTGTGTCTCGTGTACGTTCCTGTCTGACCCACCCTGGTGGCCACTAATGTATTTGCACATTCGAATCATTCCATTTTAGCTGATTTCCCTCTTACCTCCCTTCTCCTCCCATCCTAATGGGCCAAATAAAGATTCCCTTTCTCTGAAGAAAGTACCAAATGTTCTCTATCATCTCCCAAGTGCATGAGTGTGAGTTTTTGTATTCCCCTACCATTTTTTTTACCCAGTGACATCCCCCTCTGGGTTGATGGTGGCTGGTCCAGGAGGAGAAGGTGTATATGGAAAAGTGGGTTCCAGAGCCAGAGAATTTGAGAAGGGCCACAAGACCTGGTGCCACTTGCCTGTGACTCTTGCACAAGTCTTGAGTGTGGAACTAACAATTCATTTGATGCTTAAACCAAATCCTACTTCAGTATTGATGATTTTTACTGATTCTTTTTTTCTCTAACTGTAAGCAGTTTCACCTCAGCCTGTGAGTACCTTCAAGGGAGAGCTCTCTCCTGTTTTCAACAGATGTTCTGGCATGACCAAGACCTGTCCCTGCTCCCACAGTCTGGGCTGGGTTTGCTCCATCTTGCACACATCTCGCCTACAGGCTCCACATGCCCCTTGGCCAATGGGCAAGACCCTATTCCTGCTTTGTTGGGGACAGTCCCATTAGCATTACATACCTTGTCTAGGGTATCTTTCACCTCCTCTGGGAGTGCTTGAGCTGGTGTGAGAGCTGAAAAATGATAGCAGCAACTTTCCAGTGACCAGTGCTGCCCATGTGCAATGGGCTATGGGTTAGCTGTCCTACTTGGTCACTTCTCAAGGTAGCAGGAGTGTATTTTGAATCTTTGAGTATCTGCTTCTTCCTGATGGGGAAGCTGAACCAGGAGGTGATAGAGCAGAAGAGCTCTGTCTTGCTGGGCTGTGTTACCTGGACCTGTGACTGCTTCACATTGCACCACCTATTCCATGCCTTGCAGCTGTGCTGAGGTCTCTTCCATGCCTCGGGGATAGGAGGCAGCACAGCTTTCCCTTCACACACAGCAGGTCAGCACTGCTCCTCTGGGTCTGCACCTAGCTGCATGGTGAGTTCAGCAGTTCTCGTGGCCTGATGGGATGCAGCTGGTGGCTGCTGGGCAGCTCTGGTACTTGGTTAGCTTTTCCTTTCTTGTGTTTCATCTAATTCCTTTCCTCTCACTTCTCTGTTTAGCATCATCTCATTCTCCTTCTGCCTCTGCCTTTGTAGGAGCCTTAGTGTGTCTCTGTCTTTAACCTTTCCACATTCCCTTCTCCATCCTGGCTCTTATGCCCAGCTGGCTGCCCGGTCCTTTGGGTACCATGGAGCCCAGGACTCAGCAGGGCATGAGGGAAATTTTAGCTGGTGTTCCAGCAACTCTTACCTCTTGTGTGTGTGTTTTGTGGCAGGTCTGTCCCTGGCCTCTGTTGGCATCACTGCTGCAAAGTGCCCTGGAGGGATGCATTATCCTAGGCTAAGGTGTTCCAACTGCTCTGCTCTGTTCCTTAGGGCTTTCTTTCATGCCTGATATCGCTGGCTGTGCACTCCTCTGCCCTGTGGGAGGATCAGCCTGAGAGCAACCTCTGTCAAACTGTGCAGTGCTTTGTTTGTCTCAGCTCTTTGTGGAGGTCTTGCTTTCCTCTCTGTATTTCCCTGTGGGCCTTGTTTCTCTTCCCTTGTTTCCAACAGCATGAAGACTTCCAGTGCACCTGGGAGGCCTGTGCCTGTGGGCCTTATGCAATTCTTAAACCATGCAGCTAATTCTCTTTGCCCTTAAGCTTGATGTGAAAGGCAGAGGAGGCTGTGAAAAATAGTTCTGGGGTTGCATCTCCTGCCTCCTTTGCTGGTAATATTCAGAGATCTGAGCAGCCCCTGAATTTGCACCTATCCTCCTGTACTCCTGCTGTGTTGGAGGGTTCAAGCATTTGGTGAACAATAGCCTGTGCACAGACTGCCCAATGTCTCCACTTCTCTGCTCCCCCAGCATCAGCTTCCTCATCTCCTCTTCTCTTCTTCCCCTGTTATTTTTCCTTAGGCTTTGCTCTCCCTTTTTCTGCTGTAGCCCTGGAAGCTGTGTCGTGGCACAAGAGGTGGTTCTCCCATGTCCCCACGGCAGTGGTGTGGACTCTGAGCTGTCCTGCTCTGGTCTCAGCTATGGTGACCCAGCTTGAGCACCATGTTCGCGTGGCCCTCAGCCCCCCAACAACGCCTGCAGCTAAGGGGCTGCATCCACTTACTCTTCAGGGCCCCGCAGGCATTGATCTGTAGCCCTTGATCTTTTGCTACCCAGGAGGTTGTATCCCTGGGGGCTTACAGGGCTGTGCTTTGTGTATGCCGAATGCCATGCTTGAGAGCTGCTGCTTCGCTGTGGTGCTGCTGCCACTTCCACCTGCCTCTAAGCATTTTTGTCCTGGCACAGCGCTTCTCTACGGTGTCTGTCCTTGCTCTGTGGGGCACAGGTACTGTGGTGCACAGGCTCCACCACACGGAGTAATGTCTGCCCAGGCTCAGCTCTGACTTTTGCAGCCTCCTGGCAGTTGCTTGTCACGAGTGGATCTTCCGAGTGTGCCATCATCTGTGTGAGCAGTGTGCTGTGCAGCTGCCTGCCCTGCTGCTGCTGCACTCCTAGCTGGTACTCATCTCTCCCTCCCAGGAGCTCTGTGCATCCCTGCTGGTTTCTCCTTCACCAGCAATGTTTGGCCTCTCCTACCAGCATTTCTCTGTGTTCCTGTGCTCTGTGTTCAGTCTTTCCTGGGAGCTCTAGACCTGCCACATCCAAAACAGCTGCATCTCCAACAGGCTATGAAACTTGGTCCTGCACAGCCCCAGGGGATGGTCTTGGGCTCTGTGCAAGCTCCCCTCTCCATAGGGAGAAGAGGGATTGGGGGTACACCCAGGTCAAAGAGCAGGCAGGGCCCTGCAGCTGGGTGGGAGGAAAGCTGCCCAGACAAAGGGCACAAGGCTCTGCACAAAGGGGTCAGGAGCAGAGCTGTGTGCAAGCAGAAACACATGACCTCAACTCAGCTCTGGAGTCCTGCATGTCCTGGGGTATGGTACGCAAGTGTCCCTTTAGCTTTGCTGCAGTTCTGTAATGCCAGTGCAGGGCTTGCAAAGAGCTCAGTGCCATGCATGGCAGCAGAGTGTGGGTGACATGGGCAGGGTGGCTGTTCGTGCCCTCCCTGAGCTTCCCCTGAAGGTGATTGTGTGAGGTGTGCCCCATGCTTCTGCCAGGTTAGTGCCTGACCAAGTGCATGCTGCTGCTGGTTGTGGCTTATGAAGTGTCTGCAGGATGGGTGGCATGTGTGCACGTGTGTTGGGCCAGCAAAAGGTGCTGGGTTGAAGCTCCAGCATGCAGAAGAGGGATGGCAGGGCACACACACAGTGGAGAGACCTCAGTCCTGCCCCAGCACTACTTATGTATAAGAGCCCGCACTTGCCCTTAAGCTGCCCGCAGTGGCCATGGCATCACCAGGAGGAGAGGACAGAGGCAGTGCTGCCACTGCTTTGAGTGCGTTGTGCTGTGCTATCCCCTAGGTCAGGCCACAGGCACAGACACTGATGATGCCAGCACCAACTTTACCCACAACATCAAGGAGGAGGCAGCCCATGGTGTGGCAACCCAGCACGTGAGTCAGGGCAGTGGGAGCATGGGTGGCAGAGTGCTGCACAGGTGGCACTGCACCACTGCTGGACGCTGTCCTAGCCCCTTCAGAAACATCCCTGTCACCCTCTGCCTTTGTCCCTCTAGAGCAGCCTCCAAACTCGCAAGGAAAGAGGGGGCACTGAAAGGACCCTGATGGGGACCACAGCGCCCACTGTGCCAGAGCGGGAGCTGCGGGCGGAAGAGGAACTGCGGGAGCTGAAGGCGCAGCTGGAGGAAGCCGGCTTCTCCTCTGTCTCCCACATCAGGCAAGAGCCCTGGGAAATTTGAGCCATCAGGTGTCCGCAGTTTGAGGGGGTATCCTGCATCCCTGCTGCTGCCTGCCCTTCACAGTGCCTTGTGCCCCTAGGAAGGCGATGCTGAGTCTTTACCTCGAGAATGCAGAGCTGAAGGAGCGGATGGGTGAAGCCACGTCGCTGCTGGAGAATGGGGAGCAGGACGAGGCTGGGCTAGGCGGCCCCTTGGCCCCTGAGCCGCGCAGGCTGCCGAGGAAGAGCGGCAGTGCCCTCTGGGGCTGCCCAGCCGGCGGCAGCGAGGATGGACAGGGAGCTCCAGCAGAGCGGGGAGCTGTGCCCGCCAAACGTCCAGCGCTGGAGGCACGATCCCAGGATGACATGGCCAAGAGACCCTGCCCTGGCACCCTAGGCAGAGGGGACAGGAGTTCTGTAAGTGTCCTGGGCACAGGGAACAGAGATGGAGATGGAAAGGGAGAGTTCACAGTCTTATCTTCCCTCTGGAAGGTGGAGGGCACGGTCCCTGGTGGGAGCTGGCCAGGGCTAGGAGCAGAGCTTCGCTCCCAGGTGGCGCAGGGACAGAAGCAGTGCCAGGAGCTGAAGGACAAGCTTGCTGCCTCGGAGGCCATGGTGCAGGCACAAGCCGAGCAGCTAGAGAAGTGCCATGTCCTGCTCCGTGAGTTAAAACCCCAGGCGGGATAGCGGGTCTGTGCTCTGCGCACTGTGCTGTACACAGGGAAGGGATGGTGAATCCTGGCTGGGGGGGAGGAACCTGAGCTGATGGTACTGCCCAGCAGGTGAACCCCACGCCCAGCAGCTCAGCAAGCAAGTGCAGGTGGACTTCCAGGACCTGGGCTATGAGACGTGTGGGCGAAGTGAGACCGAGGCCGACCGGGATGAGATCACAAGCCCTGGTAAGGAAAGCCAAGGCTCTGGGGATCCTTGTGCTTTGTTCAGCCAGCGTAGAGAAGTGACACTGTGCCCTGTCCCCTGTGCAGAGTGCGAGGAGCCAGATGTATTCAGTGAGCCTAGCCTGGGTGAGGAGCTGGGGATGCCCAGAGCGAGCAAGGCTGCCCAGAAAGCCATGGCCTCGGCAGATGTGGGCGCCCTGCACCAGCACATCCAGGACCTCAAGGCACAGCTGCTCAATGCCAACAAGGTGATCCAGAGCCTGCAGCGCCGCACCCGCTCCATCTCCGTCACCAGTGGCTACACCTCGGGAGCCGAGCGGCCCCCGCCGGGTCCCACAGTCCTGGCCTCCCCGGCGCACAGCCTCACCGACGAGGACGAGGGCTGGCAGTCCGACGGCCACAGCGCCCTCTGCCCGCCCGCCCTGCGGGCACACCGCGACCTGCAGCACCTGGTGCACCGCGTTGCCCTCCTCGAGGCGCAGCTGCCCGCAGCCAAGGCCGGTGGCGTTTTGCCCAAGGAGCTGCAATCTGCCACTTGGCCGGGGTATGGCCGCGGGGAGCGGGACCAAACGGGGGGCTGCGGGCGTCTCCAGGGGGTCCCCAAGCTTGGTGACTTCTTGCTGCACGCTTTTCCTGCAGCCAGACTCCTGGGGTGTTTGCACGGCAGGGCAGAGCCCCAGTGGTGGATGGTGCACGGGCTCCCTCCACAGCACTCTCCATGCCGTGCTCTCTGGGGGTCTGGCAGCCCTCTGAACCCCCCTCTTGCTGATCCCTCCTAGGAAATACAATTCGTTGATTCAAGCGCAGGCTCGGGAGCTCTCCCATCTGCGGCAGACACTGCGGGAGGGCTGCGGGGTGAGCCGCAGCCTGGTCCAGCACCTGCGCGATGCCCTGCGGTCCTTTGAGGACCTCCTCCGTGGCACCGACATTGACTACTACCAGGGGCAGGGCTTTCGGGAGCAGCTGGCTCAGGGCAGGCAGCTGGCTGAGAGGCTCAGTGACAAGCTGGGCACCAGTAAGTACCTTTGCGGGGTGACACTGAGGGCTGGACATCATGGGGCATGGTGGGCTGGGAAGGGATGCTTTGATGGGGTCTGTTGAAGGGTTTGGGACATTTGGCCACCTTGTGTCATGTGGGCTACCCACTTTGATCTGGGCTGTCCTGTCTTGCTATAGCTCTGTTTGGGAACAGACAGCCTGGGTCACAGAGACGCTGACTAGCTCGTCTCTGGCTTGTTTTTTCAGGAGATCGATGTGACAGAGACGATAAAACCAGTCACGAACTCCTGGCACTGAGGTACCTGTTCCTAGGAAAGGCTTGGGAGACCTGTTCTGCATGTGCAACACAGGCTGTCACTGCTTTTGGGGTGGAGATCTGGTGTACCTTTGAGGTCTCTCCTCCAGACAAATGTTCTAGGGCTGCCTCTGCTCTGGGGATGGGGAGGGAAGCCCCAGGCTTGGGCTGGGCACCCCATGATTCAGGGCAGCCTTGCAGCAGAGGTGGGATGCAGCATGTGGGATGTCATACTGGAGTGTGCACAGCACAGATGGGAAGAGGTGTGGGACGGGGGCTACTGCCCTGCCAACTCTAGCAAGGCTCACCTCCATAGGCTTAGCCGGGAGCTCCAGGAAAAGGAGAAGGTGATTGAGAGCCTGGAGGTGAAGCTGCAGGAGCGCTGCAAGTCCCCAGGCAGCAGCCACCCACCCTCCGAGTCATCCTGCTCTGCCACCAGCTCCTCCTTTGTGTCTGATGGGCTGGAACCCTGCTCTGATGGCGACACAGCCAGCCAGTGCAGCCAGTGCTGTGAGGAGCCCCCCCAACACACAGGTACTGCAGGGTGCCCAGGGGGCACAGCTGTGGGCTGGGGACACCAGTACCTCTGTAGCATGTGGTCCCTGCAGCAATGGGTGCACATCAGGCCTGGGCAGGGGCTGCCTGTGTGGCACTGCACCTCTGTGCCAGCCTTGAGGGTGGGTACACAGCACCTGGAGCTGCAGGGCAGCATCTCGGGGGGGGAAGGGGGGTACCGCAGCCCTGCAAGGCTGGGACCTGACCGACCTTGCATGGACTGTCCCATCCTGCAGGGCCTCCAGGTATGGGGACTCAGCTGCTTGGGGTGCATCAGTGTCCCCTGAGGAGGAGCGGTCCCTGCCAGGCTGAGCCAGAGCTGTGCTAACATCTATCTCCATCTCTCTCCTGTCTCTAGGCCTTCACGTTGACTCCTTGTCCAAACCCATTAGTGCCCCCCTGCCTACACTGGCCCCTGGGCTGTCCCCATTCCTGCCTGCAGGTCTCCCCCCCGCTACAGTACCCCTGCTCCTGGGCTGCTGTGGGAACCCAGTGTGCTCCCTGGCTGAGGCGCAGCAGGAGCTGCAGGTGCTCCAGAGACAACTGGGAGAAAGTGAGCGTGTGCCTCCAGAGTGGGGCTGTTTCTGCCCCTCTCCTGACCTCCCTTTCCTGCCCTGGGCTTTCTTCTGCTTCTCAGGGCCACTGCTTTATCGTTTGGTCCCATCACTGTGGGAACTTGTGGCCCTCATGTAAAGAGGGCCTGGTGGATGGGATGGACCCAGCCTAAGGCAACATTAGCCCTTGGAGTGCGCAGCTGCACATCCTGGGGCCTCTGGAGAAGGACTTGTTTTGTTAGTTGTTGCATAGCAGTGGGGCTGACACCCTCCAATTCATATCATGCAACCAGCAAGCAGAACAATCTGCTCTTCAGGGGGAATGGGTTTGACCAGGGTGGGGGATGAATGATGGGGGATCACCATGGGGGGGACACTGGGCTGCACGGTTAGGCAGAGAAGGGGGCAAAACCTACATGGCAGGAGTGTGTTATTCCCATTCTTCTCCCTGTCCATTGCCCTCCCGCTCTTCACCTCTTTCCCTTGTGCATGCAGGTATGATGCTACCCATGGCACCAGCAAAGCCCACAGCCCCACTGGGCCCCTTCAGAGAGGGCAGCAAAGTCCCAGCAGCACCCTGCCGACACGGTGCACTGCAGAGCCCCAGGGCCACTGAGACCCGCACCCTCTGGGACATACCCTCTCCTGGCCAGCCACTTTACAGGACCCTGCCATCAGGGTATCCCTCCATCCAGAAGTTAACAGGTGAGGTCCATGTTGGAGAACATGGGGGCATCTTGCCCGGGTGTAGGTAAATGGGGAAGAGACCCAGCACCAGAATAGCTGCGGGACATGGCTCTGATATGGGACAGGTTAGAGGGGATGGTGTGAGGCAGGTGTCACAGCTATCTCTGCCCTGAGCCATATCCATTGCTGTGGCAGGGGCAGATCTGCTGGAGGAGCACTTGGTGGAGATCCGCAGCCTGCGCCAGCGGCTCGAGGAGTCCATCTGCACCAATGACCGGCTCCGCGAGCAGCTCGAGCGCCGCCTGGCCTCTGCCGGCAAGGACAGTGGTATGGTGCTGCCCTGGGGCCAGGGCTGCTAGGGGGGCCCCAGGCTTTGCACACCCTATTGCCTGGGGAGGGTGCTCACTCTGTGTATGGCTGGGTATTGGGGAAAGAGAATAAGCACTGGTCCCCCTTGGCAGGATTGTCCAGCGATGTCTATGCCCAGTCACCGGAGCTGGGGCTGCAGTTGAGCGGGGAGAACAAGGCTCTGCGTGAGGACAACCGGACCCTGCGGCTTCAGCGTGACCACATCTCCCAAGGTAGGGCTGGGCTGCCAGCATCCTGGGGCTGTGTCTGAGAGAGCATTATCTGAATGTGGTGGCAGTGACACCTCCATGGTCTCTGTCCCAGAGCTGACGCGGGTGCAGGAGGCACTCGTGGCTGCTTGCTCCCGAGCCCGGGAGGCTGAAGCAGAGCTGGAACAGAGGCGCGGGAAGCAGCAGAGGCTGGCTGAGGAGCTCGCTGAGCAGCAAGAGAATGTCCGGCAGCTCCGGGAGGAGCGGCGCTCTCTGCAGGAGGACAGCAACAGGTAAGATTTGGGGCACTGTGGCCAGGGGGCCGGCAGGGCTGGTGGCTTGGCTGGCACTAGATCCATGTGTCACCCCCTGCAGGCTGCAGCACACGGTGACGCTCCTGCAGCAGCAGTGTGAGGAGCACCGCCTGCTGCTGCAGACACTGCGTGCAGAGCTGCACGCCTACGAGAACCTCCCTGGCCCCTCTGCCGAGACCCGTGCAGGTACAGGACTCGCCCAGCCTCCACCACCAGCCCGCTGCCCAGCTACTAGTCTTGGGGTGCCTGGCCCCTCTGCAACCCTGAGGCAGGCCCAAGCACTTCTGCGGCAGCAGCAGGAGAGACATGGTGGCCCTGCTGGCAAGCAGAGAGGGCGGGCAAGACCCCAGCAGCCCCAGGCACAGAGCCACGACTGTCTGCAGGGGCTCAGATACTTCTTATTCTAGGCTGCTTCCCATCTCCTCCAGTGCGGGATGTTGGCACAAGTTCAGCAGCACCCCTCTTCTCCCCACTGTCCTCTGACATGTTTGTGACCCGGCAGATGGACGGTAGGTCCCAGAGCCTGCCCATGCCTATGCCTCAGGAGCTGCTGAGACCTGACAAACTGATGGCAGCACCCTTGCTGAGCAAGGGTGAGAAGCCCAGGGCAGAGCTAAGCCTCAGGATGGAACAGGGAGGGCCACAGGGGAAGCGGGCAGTGGTCCTACCTAACCCTGCTTGTTCCACAGGGCCATGTGGGGCAGACCCACTGGTGAGGAAGAGTGAGGGCCCAATGAGGGCTCATGTCATTGGCTGCCTGGACACCTACCGGGCCCTGGAGCAGCACATCCTGGAGGGGAAGGCGCTGGCCTGTGAGCTGATGTGTCTCACGCGCCCTGCACTTGGGCTGCCCAACTGCCTGCTCCCGGGAAAGGAGGTAAAGTGTGGGCAGGACAGGGCTGGCAGTGGCTGGGGGCCAGACACTCTGAAGACCATGTGTAAAGTGGCCCCTGAGCCCAGTATCAGCCCTGAGCCTTGCAGGGCTGGCAAGCAGCTGGCAGCCTCCAGCTTGGGGGCTGCTGTTGGTACTGCCCCGCAGTGGTGGGCTGGCCAGGGTGAGTGTCTGGATGCAGTGGGATGTAGGTGCCCTGGCAGCGCCCGCTCCCGAACCCCTTTCCTACAGGCCCTGCAGTGGACAGGCACAGGGCCTCTCTGGGGCAGTGCCAGCACCCTGCACGGCATCCTGGAGCAGTGCGTGTCTCTCCTCGCTGCCTTCTGGAGCACTGTGCTGCCCATCAGCCCAGCCCAGCACCAGGGCAAGGTGAGCACAGGGGAGGGGCTGGCGGGGTGGTGGAGCTGGATGCTCGCTGCTCATCATGCTCGTGTTGTCTTAGGAGCAGGTGCTACAGGGCGAGATCGCAGCGCTGCGGGCACAGCTCTCTGAAAGGGAGGATGCTCTGCAGAGCACCGCCAAGCGGCTGCGCAGCACGGCGCAGCTCAAGGACAGCATGGAGCAGTTCATTGTCAGCCAGTGTACGTGGCCTGGGTGATACCCTGCTGTGGGATGGCAGGGCCAAGCTGGCCTTGTCCTCATGTGCCTGGGGTGGGCCTACAGTGCGGGAACATCACTGACCACCTCTCTCTCCCCCTCACAGTGAGCAGGACCCACAATGTGTTGCGCAAGGCTAGGACGAACCTGGAGGTGAGTTTGCCCTGGCAGATAGGGTGGGATAGGGCCAGGTGCCCCTGTCCTGGTGAGCCCTGAGGGTGGGCACAGATGGCAGACACCCCATGCTCTGCAAGCAGAGTGGTGGATGGCAAAGGGTGCTGAGGGGCCCAGTTGGGTGTAACATATGTGTGTGGGACATGAGGACCTATTTTCCTTGACTGTCCTTGACTGCTCCATCCCCAGGGCACAGCAGTCCTCCAGTGCAGGCTTGCTCGGACACCACTCCCTCTTACTGCCACATGTACTCTCTCCTGCCAGGTGAAAGCCCAGCAGGCCCTGCCCGTCGCTTGAGCAGGGCTGGGAGCAATGCCTCCACTCACGGAACAGCCTGCTGGCTGCTGAGCCATGCCAGGCCGGAGGGCTGGAGAGGACCCTGTCCCTGCTACTCCAAGGGGTAGGGTGGACAGGGGTCTGGGCAATCCAGTGCTACATAGCTAGTGGGTTTGGGCTGCTGCAGTGGTTGCATGACCTCCACCTGTCTTTGCTTGGTATTGCAGCAGCAGCTGCTGGCTTGGGCTTTGCCTGCCCCATGCGTCAGTGCTCGCCCCTTTCCACCCACAGTACTTAAGGTGGGGTGTACAGCCCTCCACATCAAGCACCTCTCACCCTGGGACTTGGTCCCATTTGTAACCCTGCTGCATACCCGTCCCTGCTATTGGATGTATGTATATGTATATAGACAGAAGTATCAAGAGCCGCACTTTGGGGCCTCCCCAGGCATGCTGGGGGCCCAGTGTGGGAGGATGTAAGAAATGCCACATTCTGTTCAGTGGCTGGAGAGTCCCCAATAAAGGTTTCCTGCAGGTTGTGGTGTTTCTGGCATATAGGTTTCTGCAGCTGTGCTCCCCAGGCTATCCACAGAACAAGGCGCAATAGGCACTGGATGGCCCCACCCCAAAGGCAGCTCTGCGCCCCACTGGGCGCTTGCTTGCTCCCTTTTCCCCTTTACCTGCTCCAAAGCCCCCCTCCAACATCAGGCCAGCAGCATCGAGATCAATAAATACTGTAATAAATAGAGAAAACCCTGTTGTGTGGCACTGCGCTGGCACTAGGCAGTGTAGCCAGGGTCCTGGGATACGTGCCCTGCTCCGCTCTTCCCAGGCCCCTCCAGCATGGCGTGCATGGTGTCCCTCTGGCTGTGACGAAGTCAGCCATTCCCTGCAGAAGCACTTGATGTTGGGGACTGTGCGTTCAGTCCTTGACGGTGCTGTCCCAGTGGCAGGTAAGCGTGGCTGCATCCAGTCCAGCTGCACCCTCCCTCCTGCTGGCTCAATGCTGAACCTGGCAGAGGGTTGGAGCTGCAGCCAGGGCTGAGAGCCCTTCCTCAAAGCTAGTGAGCACAAGGAGTGGGGCAGCACCATAGCCAGGGCTGCAGGATGGGGCAGGCTGCGTTGTCCCACAGCCTGTAGGGATCAAGGTGGCCTTGGAAGCTCATCACCAGGACAGCACAGCAACCTTCAGCAGATAGGACATGTTCCTGGAAGCACTGCCAGGATCACCGTGGGGCCTGCGCAGGCTGGACAAGATGGGCAGGTGAAGCCTTTTCCATGCTGGGCACAAGGAAAAGGTGTTCTGGTGAGCAGCAAAAGTGGCCCCAGAGACTCAGAGAAGCCAAGGGGAGCTGTAGGTGAGCAGAAACCACGGGTTAAATCAAACCACACCAGTAGGATCGGACAGTGTCACAAGCTGCAGTGGCCCTGGGCTCATTGCCAGGGCTCACGTCCCTGCCACGTTCGAGGCTGGAGCCAGCGGTCAGTTCTTGCACAGTCCTGTGGCCCAGTGTGTGCAGACAAAGCGGCGTTTGGTGTCCTGCGTGGGGGGCGGGTGAGGCCCCAGCTCAGATGGGCTTGTACAGCAGTGTGGTGACATACTTCTTCTTGTAGCGGTGTGTGGCACTGAGCACCATCACGCCATCCTGCGAGAGGCACAGCGTCAGTGGGAGCAGGAGGGGGATAGCCCAGTGCAGCCTGGCTGTGCCAACCTGGGAGTGGGGCACCCCACAGCTGCCATCAGAAAGAGGGCTCTGCAAGCCTGAGGAGCTGCCCAGCCTGTCCCTGTTGTCCTGAGTCTCAGAGCCAGCAAGACATGTACAACACCCGTGACAAGGAGTGCAAGGGAAGGGTCTGGTACACAGCAGGATTGCCCAGGGCTGCCCAGTTCCATCAGGCTGCAGGGAGGCAGCTAAAGAGAACTGTAAGGAAGCCACAGCCTACACCCCTGCACATACCACACTTCACCAGGCAGCTAAGCTGTCCTTGTGTGGCTCCTTTGACCCCTGCACCACCATCTCCAGCCCCCTGTTGTCTGCTCCCTGCAAGTGCTACAGGCTCCTGGGAGCTACAGCAGCTTCACTTCCCTCACCCAGCAGCCTCAGGGGACCTGTCCTTACCTTGATGGACAGTGCGTAGAGGTGATTGAGCATGACATGGTTGGGTTCGGGCAGCAGTGCTGGGTCACACTAGGAGAAGAGGAGTGTCACAGAGGAACAGCAGAGCCCTGACCCCCCAGCTCCAGCCACCACAGGGAGCTGCCATCTCAGGCAATCTGAGCTGCTGGTGTCTCTGGCTGTTCTGAACAGGAACAGAACTCAGCTAAGCACCAGGCTGAGTAAGGAGCCAAACCAGTGTTGTTAATGGAAATGTGATGCTTTTCCCAGGAAATGTCAAGGGTGAGGCTCCAGCCAAGGGGAGAACAGAGTCCCTGCAGACAGGACTCCCCTTCCAACCCCACTGTGGCTCCCTGTGTGTGGGCAGTATGAAGGTACCCACCGAGATATTGGTGTCCTTGTTCAGGATGACCTGGAGGAGGTGAGGTGGGAGGATGGGTGGGGATTTGAAGCGCTCCTCAGGCCGGTATACATACAATTCTTGGCCATAAGGTCCAGGTGGTGAGCTTGACAAGTCTAAAGATAAGAGAAAGAAGGAGACATGAAATGGCTGAAGCAGGCCTCGCTTCCCAAGAAGCTAAGAAGGATCCAGCAGGGTCTTTCAGGCACAAACATCTTCCATGAGCCATGCCCATGTATCCTACAGTAACAGCTCATCATTTTCACAATGGAAAAAGCAGCCAGGTGAGTCCTGGGCATTTCCAAGCAGGACTGTAAACTGGTATGTGCATTGACACAAAGAAAGCAATCTGTGGAAGCCACCCCAAGACCCCTGCACACAGCCCTCAGCACAGCTGGGTCCCTCTACCTGTAGAAAGCAGCCAGCTTGGCCCAGAACTGTACCTTGTGCAGCAGGGGCACAGCAAGCAGCACGCCTGCATGCTCTCAGTGCTGCAGGACTGCCTGATGAGGAGGTCCCAGAAAGGGCAAATAGGAGGTCTAGACAGAGCAGCTGCGCAACCCATGTGAGGAACCATGGGAGCTTGTGGTCACTAGAAGCTGGACTGGATGTACCTTCCGACCACATCTGACTTGATCATTTTGGAACAACAAGCATCCAAGAAGGGCTCCATCTCCCTGGAGGTGCTGCTGCTTGCTGGCTGCAATGAAGTATCTCCTGCCCAGGTTGGGCAAGGCTGTGGAGCTGAGCTCTGTCTGAAACAGGGTTTATACCAGGGATGGCAGACAGCAGAGGGCCCTGGACTGGAACACAACTGAGCTACCTGCTAGCATTACACACCAAGCCAGCAGTGCCGGTGTCTGCATGGTAACCTAACCTGCTGCTGTAACACAAGTGGAGAGGGAGGCTTGAGATGAGCTAGCACCAGTACAAATTACCTTGGCATGAAAACCAAGAGTAGCTGCTGAAAATAACCCAGATCCTGCTCTCACCTAGCTTGTACCCCAGATCACATGACTTACAGTTGAGCAGACAGAACGGGCTGATGTTCCCAGAGTTCACCAGTCTGAAACGGCTGCCTCAGCCATACACAGGCAAGGACCCTGCTCTGCGATGGTGCTAGCACAGAACAAGTTACACCAGCACAGTCCTTCTATAGGGACAAGGACTCAGCTGCAGGCTGCTGAGGACACACTGCCAAACACTGTTCTTCGCAGGTGCAGGCCCCTACCTCTGCTCAGGGGGTGTGTTCACCCCCAGAGCAGGGAGTCTCAGCACAGAGGATGTGGAAAATAGCACATGCAAAGCTCTAATGTATAAAAACTCACCCCGACCTGAGGTTTCTGAGCTCTCCAGGGAATCCACCTTCAAAGCATCAAACACCTCAAAGTCAGACTTCTTGACGTGAATCAGGTTGTTAATCGTCCCCATCTGGCTGGTGACCACAGGCTGGAGAGAACTGAGGTAAGAGTCTTCCTATGTTCATCTCCCACCAAAGAACACTCAATGCTTCCTAGATCCTCCCACCCAAGCTGTCTTTGCTGCACCATTACCTCAGAGCACAGGCAGCCAGTATCTAGCTCTGCTCTACGCTTGCAGATCGCTGCTGTTTACACTGGGAGGATTTCCCTTTACTCCCATGCTCCTACATCACGTCCTGTTTTCATCCTCCATCCTGCTACATGCCAATGGGTAAGTAAGCGTCCTCTCCGTCCCCTGCTGCTACCACAATTCATTTTGGAGAAGAACCTCCAGGTGAATGCTGACCCCATAGCCCATCTTCCCATGCAGCCAATTTTCAATAAGAATTAAAGGCTTTCTGGTGTTTTCCTGCCCCTCAGCACCTCCCCGAAACTTCCCTATATGGCATGTCTAAGCCCAGAGGAGCCAGCCTCTCAAAGAACTCATGGGATTGAGATGCCCCTTTTGTTTCAGCAGACACCTTCTGCTATTCCTTTCCCCCCATCTGCTGCAGTTACATCGTGTCTAGTATCCTGCAGAAGTCAAGGTCTCCAGGGATAAAGCTTTGAGCATTACCTCAGATGGGTCATGGACCCACTGGCCATCCACAAAAAATTTGTACTGGTGTTCTCCTTCTGGGAGGTCCAGGATAGCGACAAAGTCATTGTGGCTGTGCAGAGAGAAGAGGTGCAACAGCATTACCCTGTTGATGCTCTGGATGGTGCTCTTCCACGGGGTCCCAGAAAACATGCACTGTCAGCCCCTCTACCACCACGCCTTCATGCAGGGTTAGGCTTGCTCATTGTCAGTGATCTGAGGCACAACACAAGTGTGAGCATTCAGAGCACTAGCGTGGCTCAGTCCCTCAGAAGCCCAGCTGGAAGGAGTGCACAGGAGGCAGTCCAGCCCCACATGTCCAGAGAAAGTTGATGCTACAGACAGCCTCTGCAAGACACATCTGGGAGGATGCATGGGAAAAGCATCTAACCCTGTGCTGGTACTGCAGGATGAGGACAGCAAGTGCAGCAGCTCTGTCTGTAAAATCCACAATTGAGATAAACCCATTCCAGGCAATTTGCTGGGATTATGCCCAGGGTCATGTATTGTGGAATGACAAGAACATCATTAGGGCAGGAAGATATGTGAGGGACAAACAAACAACCCCCCTGGCAACAACACAACTAAGCAGGGGGTAAGGCCACAGCCAAGCAAAGAGCTGACAGCTTCCAGAAGATAACTGCGTAGGGCTCTGCTGCTGGGACAAGCTTCTGTGTGACATCAAGCTGGGCAAACAAAGTGGCCCATCCTGTCCTGTCCCTCTGTTGTACAACTTATCAGCACCACCCAGGGAAGAAGCTGACTACATATCTGTGCTCAGACCCTCCAGCCTGGGTGAACATAGACAAGATGGGTGAGCAAAGGGAACAGCCACCAGCACAGAGAAGGCGAAACACTTCCCATGATGGAGCAGAGGAGAATTAAGAGTGACAGGCTACCTCTTGATGAGTGGGATCTTGGTGCTCCAGTTGTTGAAAGATCCAGAGATGAAGACCTCTTTGCCTCCATCAGCCCAGCGGATGACAGTGGGACGAGCCTGTTGAGATGGTTTCACTGACTCCTCCAGATCCGGCTGCCACGACACAAACTCCTTATCCCCAGGAATCTGAGGTAAGAAAAACAGAGCCCAAGACACAGAGACAATCGGGACCACATTCACTCCCTCCTGGCCTCTACCAGCCCAGCTGCACATCCCAGACAAGAGCACTGCAGAGCACCTCTAGTCCCCCAACTCTCTATAGGCCCCTCACGTGGCTGGGAGCACAGAGCCCAAAGGGCAGGACAGGGAAGGCAGTGGCTAGCCCCTACCTTGGAATCATGGGAGCTGAAAACATTGGGGTCGTCAGTGCTGCCCACCATGATCTTGTGTGGGTGCTCCTTGGCAGGGTGGGTGGCACCGGAGCCATCTGAGCGGTGGGACTTGGAGCTGTGGCGCTCCCCTGACACTCGCTCACTGGTGGTGTTCCCCATGGCAGTTCACCTCCCCTGTGAGAGAGAGAAGATGGCAGTGTGCCTGTGCCCACAGGCTCTGGCAGCGAGGTGAGGAGCAAGGATGTCATTCCCAGTGTTCTTTGCCAGCAGAGACTGACAGCAATCCTAAAAAAGGCCCAAAGTTCATTTCCACTGCCAAGTTTGGGAGCTGAATGGGAATTCAATAAACAAGATAGCTTGACCTAATTATAGCCATATCCTTATGAACCATCACTCTAGTTACATTCGTAACTGTTATATTCCAAAACACATACTCGTTACTCTGTACCCCATACGAGTTCTCAGCAGCCAGCATAGTAGAGGGTCTGATGGGCAAAATCAAGCAACCTTTACTGGCAAATCAACTGCTTGGTGTGAACAAAGCCTCTTTCACAGTCTTACAGTCAAGCTCCACATACAAATCCCCTACATACAGCAGGAAAACAGACAAAGAGTGAAAGTAGCAGCTGTTTAACAGATCCCAAGCCTCCAAGAGCTTGCAGGCAGAAGAGCAGAGCCTTGCGCCTGGCAATGGTGACAGGGAGCAGTTGAAGTGTCTGAATTGAATCACCCAAGGTGGAGCTTGGCCAAGGTGTGGGGTTAATGCCGTGGTGTGTGAAAAAAAGCTCAGCTCTCAACAGAATTCACTTATGATTCACCAGGCAAGCCACCCTGTCAGCTGCAGCACAGTGAGTTCTGCTTGTGAACCTAACCAGTGGCACTACCCTGTGCATTCTGGCATCTGCCTGGCCACCTGGAGTCCCAGAATGAGAGAAGGGCCACCCAGCTGCCTCAGTGCCACCGTGCAGCTGGAGATGGGCTGCCATCCCCAATATCACCCAGCTCAGAGAAGGCAAAAGAGGAGAACTGGTCATATAGCACAAAGCCAAGAACAACTACACACCTCTTGGGACAAACAACAAAGCCACTGCAAGCTGCATGGGACTCTTCAAGCCTTACCCAGTTTCCAGCAGCTGGACTGTGATTCTTGCCCCTTCACAGGCTAATTTTTCAGCTTACCACACTGATCATGGGTGCTGCAGGGCAAGGCAAGAGGACAGCCAGCATTGCTTCATGCACTTAGCTGCGACATTTAGGGATTTGTTTAGAAGATCAAGTTATATGAAGGGTGCCAGGCAAGGCTGCCAGCCAAAGCCAGGCTTTAGAACATTACAGAGCAATTACCAAAGTATTTCTTAAATCCTGAGGGCTAAAAGTCAGTCTGAGAGGACAGCTAACCCATACCACCCCCCCTCTCAGTGAGGATCAAGCATACCTGAAGATCCAGGTCAGATGAGCTGCACCACTTGCTCTGACATCTTCCCCCTCTGCCCTGGAGGAGGCTCAGCCAGCTTCTCATAAAATCTATCCCTGTGCCACTAGACCTGCTGTTGAGGAGCTTCTTCCCCAGTATCTCCACTAAGGCTCCCTTACTTCTCATCTACAGGGAGGAAGGTAGGAAATGCTGAACATCCTCTTGTACCAAGACAGACCTGAGAGATACATGCAGGTGTTAACAGATGTGAAAGCTTTCCTTTCTTGTCTCTAAAAGGAATTCATTCCTTCTTGCTGTCTCTTGCAGGTTACGCTATCCTAACATTTCCTGAGGTTCCTCCCAGGCGCTGGCTTCTTTCTGGTGCATGGTATCAGAAACCCCATGCAGACAAGCCCACCCCACCTCCTGCATCACACACACAGGCACCCTGCTTCGCTGGGACAGTGAGCTCTCTGAGCATAGTCTGCGACACTTGGCTTTACTGAATTAACTTCTACAGCTCTTGCATTCAGACAAACCCTTGTAGCACAGCATGCTCTGATGGTGTGACACAACTATGTTCAAGTCACTGATGGCAACACTGCCCATACCAAAACCCAAGCAAACCTCCACAGCGTCTCAGCATGTCTGCTCCCAGTCTGGCAGCAAGCTGCTGCCAGCTACAGTCTGCAATAAGGTGGGTGCCTGCCTGCTGGATCACAAAGCCCCTTAGGCTTCAACCAGCCCCGCCTCCCCACTTTGCTTCTGACCTGGACACACGAAATACACCAGTTCCCCCTGAGATGTGTCACACTTGCTGCCTCTCCCACCCAGCCAGCGACCTGGACTGGGAATCACCAGCAGCCAGGCTGAGGTTTATTTTGGAGAGATGGGGGTCTCTGTTCAGCACTCTCAGTTGCCCACAGCCTGCTTGGCAGACACCTCTTGGTGCTGAAGGTACCCAGGGAAGCCTGATTTGCCCAGACTCTCCTGCCTCCCTCATTCAGAGAAGGAAACCAGAGCTTAGCCGAGAGGTTGCCATAAGGTTAAGGGAATGAGCTGGGAAACCGGGAATAAGAAAGCCTCCCTCCTCTGGATCCTGCCAAGCAGGCATGACTGGGGTGAAGGCTCTGCCAAGCAGTGGCGTTGGCAGGGCTGTCATGAGGGCTCCGCGAAGCGCTGCTAGAGCTGTCACGGCATGCAGGGCCGCCACCCGCCCTCCTTCCCTGATGGGTGCCTGCCACGGCCCTTAGGAGAAGCTGGCCGCACCGGCTAGAGACAGGGTGCTCTTGAGGTGCTCCGAGCCGGCTGCAGGCCACGGCCACGGCCACGGCCACCAATGAGGGGTCCAGGCCACCGTTACCCACCGCGCTGTCCCCCGTGGGGATGCCCAGCCAAGCCTCACCCGCCGTCTCCCGCAGCAGCACTCGGGAAGCAGCGCCCGGCCAGCTGCCTTCCGCCCACCCTCAGCCCCGCCCGCCGGGACACCCGCCGACAGCCCCCGCTCCCGACCGCAGCCCTACCTGGCCACCACCGCCCCGCTCTCCGCCTCCGTCCAAAATGGCGACACCCCCACCGCCGCCGCCACCAGCCTCTGCGGGGCGCTCTGACCCGCCCCCGCGCGCCGTTCTGTGGCCGCGCCCCCACTCCCTCCCTCCCGCGGACCCGCTTTCCCGCTGCCGGGCAGCCGCCATGTTTGTTGAGGGCGGCTTCGCTCGTTGTTGTGAAGGGCGGCGGGCCTGGCGCACCGAGGGCCGCGCGGCTTCACCTGCGCCGCAGCCGGCGGGCGGCCATATTGGTTGAGGGCAGGGCTGTGGCCCCGAGGTGGCGGGTTCAGGAGTGTCTGCGGGGCTGGGAAGGCTGGCTGAGGGGGGCAATGGCCACGGTGCTGCCTGCGAGCTGGAGAGGCCCGGTGTGGACAGGACAGATGCCTTGGGACGGACAGCAGCGACGGAGACAGCCCACACAGCATGATCCCTAGTCCCCTCTGCATGGGGACTAGATTTATTGCCCGTTTCCCAAAGTGTCGTTGTTGATCAAGTTCCCTGTTGCCCCATCACCTCTCTGCCGATCAACCCACAGGCAGAGCTTGCAGAGTGATTCCTGCCCTCGGGGCTGCCCCTGACAGGACCTGTTGTGGCCCTGGTACAGCAGGAAGGCGAGACAGACCAGGCTGTCTGGTCTGTTTTGCCTTCAAGGAACCAAAGGTTTGGTTCTTTGAACCTCTCGTCTCAAGGAACCAAGCCTCTTTGTGCCTCTTCATGTGGTGGTGATGCGCACTCTTCATGTGGTGGTGATCTTGGAGTTGTGCATGTAGTTGGGGAAGTCCTCAGGTATGGGGAAGTCGCTGAAGCACATCATCTCCTTGGAGGTGTTTATGATGACAGAGCGGTAGATGCTGGCGCGGCCCTCCTCGGGGTGCTCCTGTGGTAGTGGGGCATGGCTTGGCACTTGCCAGGGACCCCAGGGCTGCCTGCCTGGTGCCTCACTGTGCCTGCGGGTGCAGGGTTAAGCCACAGGTGATTGCACCTACCCCTCCACTTAGCACTCCTATGCATGTGATTGCCCACCCCACATAAAAGGGAAGAGGGCCATGAGTGGTATCAGCGTGTGGTGGGGTCTCGTGTCTCAGTTTCCCTGCTCCCACCCCTGCCCCTGATGAGGCAGGGCATTCCTGAAGCTGTCCATGATGTCATTGCCCCAGCTGCCACATCAGGTCTCACCAGTTCCTGAGCCAACTCCTGCTCTTCCAGCTATGTGGCCAATCCTGCCTGATGAGTCTCTGCCCCAGCAGCTGGGTGCTGCTGCCCTAGCTCTGCTTCCTCAGTCCTTTTTCTGACCCACCATGGGCAGAACCAGTGGACTGTAACTGGGGCAACTCAAAACCCATTGTGGCTTGGTGTGGTGTGTCCCCCTCCCAGGCTTTACCACTGTGTATCAGGACATTGTGAAAAGCTTGTCATCTTGGTGGGTTTCCAGGGGAAAAGCCAACAAACAGCTTCAATAGGTGGGGGCAGAAATGAGCTCTGGCGTTTCCCCTGATGAAGGGAGAGCCAAAGCAACAGAGGAGGAAGTGCTCGGTACTTCTGCATGGGTGAGTACCACAGAAGCAGGGAGAGGAAGAAGTTGGACTTCCAGACAAGGGCTCGTCAGGACAGGGACTGGGACTGGGATAGACAGTGGGGTCAGTTGGGAAAAGGGTGGGTGGGGAAGGAATGGAGGAGGCAAAGAACAAACCAGCAGGGGAAGGGGTGGATGAGACTGTGAAGAAAGGGCTTGTGAAAGGACATGAGACTCCCGATGTCACAGCAGTTTGTCTTTCATGTGGTTTCATAGTCATATATATGCAAAGTAGGGGAGAGGTGCTTCATTACCTGCCAATAATCAATTCCAATGCTGGCTGTGCTGCTAGTGTGGGGCAGGCTGGCACAGAGCAGGGCTGTGGTGGTGGCAGGGATGCTGGAGAGTCTTGTCCTGGGGCAAAACACACCTGGGCGTTGTGCGGAGCCTGGTGGGTCACAGTGGGGGTGCACGGTGCCACTTGGTTAGGGATGGCACTTCGGGGGCTGACTGAGATCAACTGGGCTGTCATAAAACGTGCTTGCTGATATGACCTACAGGTACTCCCTGCTGCCCTGCCACACCTCCTGCCTGCGCCTGCTCCCGCAAAGGGCTCATGAGGACCTGTGAGCGCATAACGATGCTGATGCTGCCATGGGGATTCCTGGGCTCAGGGCTGAGATGCGGCCATGCTGCGGATTTTGGCAGGTCATGGCGTTGAAAACAAAAGCTTGTGGATGCTGCGTGCACTGATAGCCGGCAGCTGTGTGGCTCTGGCTTGTAGTGGCCAGGAACCCAATCACTGCTGCATGTCCCCAGCTACCCAGCAGTGGGGCCTGCATGCAGGAGATGAGGGTGACACTGAACTGTGCCACTGTGACGACCCTGAGTGAGGCTGTTTTGCCTCACGTTTGCATGTGTGTGCACGTGTGCAGCATGTGCTGCCATGGGGTGCGGGCATGAGCCAACCTCAAAGCCGCGTGAGTCCTGTGGGTGCACAGGGTATCATGGTGGTGCCAATAACGGGAAAGACACCTGTCTCTGTTTAACGCATTTATCCAGTTAGGAAGTCTGCTGTGCCTTTGCCGCTCAGCTCTTGTGTGAGTGTGCCAGTGGTCGCATGGCTGGGTTAGAGGTGACAGAAAAGCCTGGTGTGTCCCTACTGGGTTGAAAGAGCAGGCTGAGAGGGACTGGATTTTACTGTGTGCGTGAGCAGGTTTCCTCTTCTGCCCCTGGCTGTGGCTTCCTGGGGAAAGGCGGAGACCGGGCACTGGGGTGTTATTTCGAAAGCTGTGGAGGCTCTGTGCATCTTGGGCTTGTGGCCACAGCGGGGCGACGTGGGGCAGGAGGAGGGGTCCTGCCAGCACTGGGGTGCACAGGTTACTAGGGGGCAGGGGATGAACAGCCGCACGCCCGGCACATCCCTTTGCACACTTGTGGGTCACCTAAAAGTAAGCAAAACCGATGGCGAGGATGGCCACAGCTCCAACCAGCTTGAAGAAGAGGGGCAAGGCAGGAGCTGGTGGGTGCTCCTCCACGAGCCGCGTCTGCAGGGGCTTGATGATGCGCTGCCGCTGGGTGAGGATGGCCTCCCTGGCACCGGCCCACTTGCCCGGGCCCCGCAGGCGGTACTGGTATGGTGTGCAGGGCCCAAAGGCTACCTCCAGCGCCAGCTTGGGGTCGGTGAGGAAGAGGGTGAGCAGGTTGGGCTTGACCCCCACCTGGCAGGCGAGCTCATCCATGTAGGGGATGTAATCCACCTGGATGGTGTGCCGCTGGCTCTTCACGTACCTGTGGACATGGAGGGTGAGCGGGTGGTAGAGGCAGAACTGGCAGATGCCTCGCACGCCAGCAAGGTGGTACTGAATGGACTACCGTTGGGAAGGATCAGAAGGGTGGGTTTAGAGCAGCTGAGCACATCCCTGCCATTTTTTGGCAATGCCAAGTGTGCCTGGAAGCAGCACAGGACAGGACAGATGCCCAACCTCAGCTGTACCCAAAAGAGTGCCCTCCCTGTTCCCAGGGGGATCTTACTGTTTTGCCATTGCTTCTCTCTTCTGCTTGATATCCGCCTCCATGCAGTGTCGTGGGGGAAGCTTGTTCAAGCCTAGGGAGGATAAGCCACAGCGTGGCAGTGCTGGCAACAACGGCTGGGATGTACGTTGGCCATGCCATTGGCTTCTGCCAGGATGGCACAGCCAGCTGCTTCCTCCCAGCCATGGCTGGGCACCTTTTTACCCAGCTCCAGGGGTGCTGGCTTAGGCTGCAGCCACAGGGGAGGTTTGTCTCGCTTACCCTTGAAGATGCGGGTGGCCCAGCGACACTGGAGCTCGGAGATGGGCATGATGGCACCCAGCGGCTGGATGAGGCCGATGAAAGCCAGTGTTGGCTTTTCCAGGTCAGGGGGGAACATAAATTTGTAGAGGGAAATCTGGTTCTCTACCACCTTCACGCAGCCTTCGAGGAAGGGGAAGGAAAAGCTGTATCCCGTGGCAAAGACCACAGCATCAATGTCTTCCCTGGTACCACCTTCAAAGATGGCAGATGTCTCTGTGAATTCCTGGATGTTTGGCTTCACCAGCACCCTGCCCGAAATGATGCGATTGGGCAGGTCGTCGTTGATGGTTGGGTGTTGGTCAAGGACCCTGAAAGCACAAGGAGCCATGAGAGTTCTGCGGTGGGTGTCTCTGCTCAGTGCTGTGCTCCAGCCATGGCTCCCTGCTCTGGGGATGTGGGTCCACAGGGATGCTCATTTCCAGTGGGGCTGTTCCCACAGGGTTGCTTGGCAGGTAGCGCTTCACCGCACCAAGGTTCCCTGGAAGGGGCCGTGGTGGCTCCCCGGAGCATTGCCTGGGCACCACACAGCTATTAACCAGGTTTCCAGGGCTGGTGCCTTGGCCCAGCTCAGGCACACAGAGCACGGGAATGGCTGAGCAGTGCTGGACACGCGGGAGGCAGAGGGTCCCTCCTGGGAAGGGGGAGCATTTGCTGGCACCTGTGCTTTGGCTTCAGGCCATAGAGTGAGTGGTTGAACCTGGCGTTCAGCTGCTTCTCCACAGAGCTGCTAACCGTGGACTGGCTCAGCAGCTTCTTCAGGAACGCGTTGGTGCGGGTGGTGATGATTGTATCGATGGGGTAGCCCTCATCTCCAACACGGTTGAAGATCCAAGCTCCACGGCGGGTGCTGAGGAAGACCTGGGTAAGGAAGTAAGCGTTGCCTCCTGAAGGCTTTGCAGGTGCTGAGGGGCTGCACAGGGGAGACACGTGCCTGCCCCAGGGTAGGTCCTCTTCCTGCTGGCCAAGCACTCAGCAAAGAC